CCAGTGGTCGATCACCTCTTTTTGAAGCCATACTTCTTGCGCTCATAAAAGAGATCCGTTTTACTGGAGCCCAAGTTGACAATCTTGGGACAGCCATCCCTGTCCTTCTCCAAGACCGTACAACTGCGGCAATAGTAGGCATCACTAATGCCGGGGCCACCGCACACGACACACCGGCCCTGATATGAGCCGTAATTGCATTCATCGCATATGCGGACGAGTGTCGACGGGTTGACCAATGAGTCGCAGATAACGCACTTCCCGTCGCACTTCTCGCACAGGCGGCCGATCGCCACACCCGCCTGTTTGCGACAGAATATCAGGTCCGGATGGTGTTTGGCCATTGATAGGGCACCGGTAGGTCACGCACCGGTCGATACGTTAGGCACGAAAAGTTTTGAAAACTTATTTGTTTAGTTAACGTAAGGCTGGTGTTCACGAAACGATTTGTTTGCGATGATCGCTGTGTTTGTACGGTTAGGCCATCTGTGGAACGGTATGTGCCATCAGTTGTAGGTTTTCATTGCTTTTACTTTTTCAATGATTAACTTACTATTCAGTAAATTGCAACTAGCAATTTTTACAGGAACTTTAAATGTATATTTTGAAGTATGAAGTTAAACGCTCGTTTATTTTAATTAATATAGTATTAATTACAATTAATTATATCAATATAAAATAATAGCTATACTAATAAACAGTATAAATGTATTGTGTTTATAATTTTAGCATGTAATACAATATTTTCTTATCACTGGTTACCATAGGTTTTTTAATATGATATAAATTCAACAAATTAAAAGTCAATTGTAATAATGGGTGTAATTAGCGCCAGAAATGAATTAATAAATATTGTATAAAAGTTTATTAATTTAAAAAATACATCAATATTGCAATTATTAAGCATATATTTTATTATAACTTTATTATTTTTGTTATAATGAATTATGATTAAATATATTTATTTATTTGGGAAGCATCTAAGGTAAAAATATTTTTATATTATAAAAGTTATTTTGTAGACATCTTGGTCCCATAATTATTAATATGTTAACAGAGCGGTAAAGACATTAAACAATTGATAGCAATATTTTTCATTTAAATTTTTCTTATTTATCAGGAAATGTGCAAATCACAGACCAAATATCATTAGCATCTCATGAGTAATAGACCGCAAAAGTATTTCTTTACAATTATATTACAATCATTTTGTTAAATAAGTCAT